CATCTCCCCTCGTCCTGCCACACAGCATCTGCCTGCGAGCCAGGATGCTGAGTGCCCTGGTCTCCCTGTATTCCCAGGAGGCCTGGGGGTGGAGATGTCCTGCCTGTCCCTCATGGAGACAGCAGCTGATCCCCCCTCCATTAACTGGTGTAGACTCCCATGCCTGCCCTGAGGGTGGTCACCAGGCGAGCCCCTTTGGCTTCATGCTGAGGCAAAAATGCCAGGAATGCGATTGAAATTTGGGGCTTCTCAGGAGTATCTCCCAGGCTGAGCCAGGACCTTGGTGGGGGGTGAGGAGGTGAGTCTTCCCCCCTCCGAGGAGCAATTAGTCTGCAAGGTGATTTATTAACGTGGAGGAGGAGGATGATGGGGGGGTCGCATTCCTTCCCTCACCTCCCAAACCTTAGAACCTTATCTCCATCTGGGGGCTGTCGTTGGCCCCTGGAGGGAGGCAAGTGATGGGAAGCAGAGACCTTGGCCCCTGTGGAGGGAGGATGGGAGGGACACTGGTGGGACTGGGGGGATACAGGTCACCCCAAACTCACCTTGTGTTTTAAAGACCTCCTTGCACCTTTAAAGACCTCCCTTGGATTCTGCTGTGCCCGGACATTGATGGCCCCTCTCCACCATCCATTCCCCCTAGGGCATCTCAAAAGGGACAAAGGCACCCCAGCCCCAGTTCTCTGCTGCCTTGTCCTGTTCATGCTGATGGGGCAGAGAGGGGCAGCAGCATCTCCTGGCTGTGCCTCATCTAGCTCTGCTCAGTTTGGGAGCAGGAGGAGGACCTGGTAAGGTCTGGGCACGGCCACCGTGCTTTCCCCCGGGGTTATTTGATGGCTCCCCTAGGCAGTCGTGACATTTTCATGGTTTATCTTATCGAGGAATTTGCCGGGAGGATGTTTCTGGCTCTCCGTGAGTAAATGTTTAGGAATGCTGCTGTCCCGGGGGCTCCCTGGTGTTGCACAGCTAGAGGCTGTGGGGGGAAATGCTGGCCCGAGGGCAAGTCCTGGCAAACCGGCACCTGTGTCAATTCTGGGGCTGTGGTGGTGCTGTCACTCCTGCCTGCTTGGCCCCGTGCATCCTTATCCCCTGCCTTCGCCTTTCCCTGGCTGAGCGCCCGTCCATGGGCTGGGTCCTGCTGCCTCTCTCCAAGGGCTGGGAGGTCAGTGGCTTGGGATGTGGCAACATCCTCAGCATGCGTCTCGATGAGGGCCTTTTAACTGCTGTCTGGGTTTTTAGATGGAGAATGGATTAAAATCCCAAATGTCATTGGGATTTATAGATGCCATCTGCTGCTGACAGTCCCTGAATTTTTCTGCTCAGTGCACGAGCGCTCCCACCTCCAGCATCCTGGCTGTGCTGCTCTCAGTTTTCTTCCCTTCCTTTCCCTTCCTTTCCTCTTTCCTTCCCCTTCTGTTTTTCCTTCCTTCCTTCCAGCTGTACCGCTGTCAAGGTTGTGCTGGTGTCAAGGTTTCCTTCCCTGGGGGGTGTCTTACCCTCTGTGGCTCAATCTCTTGGCATTAAAACTCTTTCTGCAGCTGCACTTCATCTTTTGGGGCTCAGGATCTGAACCTGGGGTCCCCCCGTGGTTTGTGAGGCCCTCCCCAGAGGTTTGAGCAGCGGGAGGAAGGAGGCTGCAGATGACAACCCCTCACCTGCGCTCTCTGCCCAGACCTCAGTGAGCTCTGGGCTGGTGGCCCAGATGGCCACCGGGATGGGGCATCACCGGGATAGGTCCAGCAAAGTGGGATGTCCCGAGGACGCTCCTGCGCACTACTCGGCCTGAGGCTCCCTCTGCTGTCCGTCTGTCTGTCCATCCACTAGTTCATCTGCCTGTCTATCAATCTGTCCATCTCTGCCCACCCAACTCTTGCTGGGGAGTCCTCGGGCTGTGGAGGGGGGAATTTTTGAGCTGGGCTGGGGCAGGGTCCCTGTCCACTCCCAAAATCCTGCAGGGAGCCACCCCAAGCTGCCGGGGTCGCTTGAAACGTGCTCACTTGGCCCCACTTTGGCCCCTAGAGAATATCATCAGTGTTCTTTAACTATGGATGGGATGCTGCAGGTCTGAAATCTGCATGACAGGCTCTTTTTTCCTCTTTTTTTTTCTCCTCTCTTTTTTCTCTTTCCCTACTTTTTTCCTCTCTTTATCTTTTTGTTTCCCTCTCTTTTCATTTCTCTTCCCCTTCCCCTTTTCTCCTCTCTCTCCTTGTCTCCCTCTCGTTTCCCCTCTCTTCCCCTCCCTTCCTCCTCCTCTTGTTTTTCCTATTTTCTCCTTTCTCCTCTCTTTTCTCTCTCCTTTCCCCCTCTCATTTTTTCCTTCTCCAATCTCTTTTTTCCTCTTTTCTCCTTTCTCCCAACTCTCTCCTCCACCTCATTTTTCCCTTCACTTCTTCCAACTCTCTTTTTCCACACTTCCCCTAATCTCTTTTTTCCTCCCCTCTCCACACTTTCCCCCCACCATTTTCCTTTCTTTTCCCATTTTCCCCTCTCTTTTTCTCCCTCTCTATTCTCCTGGGACAGGACCAAGCCCTCAGTGCCTCAGGGCAACCTAATCCTCCTTTTCCAGATGGACTGTGCTGCACCACCAGATGCTTCACAGCCTTGGGAAGATGCAGCCAGTCTATTTGGGAGGGTACTGGGACCAGAATGAGGATCCAAATTTGCTTTTAAAGAAGTTCAAGGTTATGACGTGCTGGCAGCAGCATCCTGTGGAGTGTGCAAAGTGCTTTTTAGGAGCCTTCAGCCTGGAGGAGGCTAAAACAAGGGCTTTTCCCTGCTCTTTTCCCTGCAAACCAGCTGCCATGACTTCTCCTTGGGGAAATACTTCTCCAAAATATTTCACCAGCTGGCACATTCCGAGTGCCTGGCTGCTTGGTCAGTGGTGGAGCTGGGTGCGCTGGGTCCAGACGCTCTAGTGCCACCTGTGGCACCAGTCCACCCTCTTAAGTGCCCATTTTGGAAATCCCAAGTCCCTTATTTTGGGATGCCCCAGCCCTGGCTCCTCCCCTGGGACCTGCCGACATGGAGGTGTGCAGTGAAACGAAGATCATTGACTTAACGAGGGCACCTCACGGGATTGCTGTTCCACTCCACTATCATGAGCTGCCTAATCCCAATAAAAGGGAGAAATGGGAATTTTTCTGGCTGGCCATCTGCACACGCTCGAGGTACCCCAGCATGGTGCTGCTGCCGAAATCCTCCCGGCTGAGATGAGGCAGCTCATCGGGGCGCATGATGCTCCCCACTGGCTCCAGAAGGCAGCTCTGGGGGGCTTGGATCACATCCCTGCTGCTGGCTGTCACCCTACTTATCCCCCCCCCCCCCCGAGTTTTGGGAAGAGCCTGTGGGAACACCAAGCTTTTCCATCCCACCAAGTGGGAGAGGAGCAGTAGCCATTCATACCCCTCTTGGGTGTGCCAAGGACACAAGGGTGTGGGGGGGTCCCATACCATGCTGTGCCACCGCGCCCTGGCCCCAGGGTGGCAGAGCCGGGCGCAGCAGGGTCCTGTCCAAACACGCCAGGGAGGGTTGGCAGATGCCTGGCTTCTCTCTTCAGGTTGATGGGAGCACAGGAGCTTCGGAAGGAGGGGGGCATGTGGAAACTCTGATATACAGACAAAACTGCGTTCCATGTGGATCAGCGGTGGGCTGTTCCGCAACAGGCGCCCCTAACAGCATCAGTCATGGGGCAGGCTGTTGGCAACAGCATCCAGCTCCCATTTTAAGGGGAAATCTCACCCGTTTTGCTTAAAAGGCAGTGTGGGAAATGTTGTGTAAAGCAAAATGGACATCTGAACATTGGTTTCGGTGATTTTCCTGGATGTTTTTAAACCAGAGCAACAGGAGAGCTCTACGCTGTAGGACCATGTTGCGGCAGACTGTGACTTTCCCGGTCATGGGGCCAAGGAGAGCCAAATTTGTCACCTCCCCATCAACATCCCTTCTCAGGGACACTTTTTGAGCCTTGAAGGTGACTTGCCCGGTGTCACCACGGCAGTGTGGGCTGTGGGTGTGCTCCATCCCTGCAGGGGACCAGGGGCTCAGTGATCCCCAGGAACAGGGGGCATTGTCACCAGAGTAGGACAATGCTGATATGGCAAAACAGGCTGGATGAGTGTATTTGGGGGGAAATTTTTTCAGCTGAGGTGAAGAACAATTAAATTTTTGGGGGTGTGGGAGAGTCCCAGTGCTGCCTGGAGGGATTTGTGTCCCGGGCTCCAAGAAAACTTGTGATTGGAAAACTTGTGATTGCTCAGACCTGGCTTGGAGACATGTCTGGCGTGTGATGCCTGTTGTGGGGGGGTTGCAAGTGCCCCCCTTTGCTGTCCTGCGACAGCACCTGGGGGGTCCTGGCCCTGTAACTGAGACAGGAAAGAGGCTTTAAACACTTGACTTTTGGGACTCGTTGTGTTTCCGGCCAGTGGAAATATTGGAAATGTTTTCTGGCTTTTTTTTCCTTCCTCGTTCTGTTTTGCTCTGAAGTTATAACCTTTTCCCGAGCCCTGGAGCAGGGTGTCCCACCGAAACTGGTGGCATCCATGGGGGCCACGTCCATGCATGACCCCACCAGGTACAGCTGTCGATTTAACCAGAGCCGCCCAAGCAGAGAGAGAGGATTTAGGATTTTCTGGGCAGGAAGGAGTTAAACAGCTGGCAGCAGCTGCTGGAACAGCTAGTAGGGTGCGTCTGAAGGCTGGCTTGGCTCCCAGAGGTTTTGGGGGACTCAGGTGGGTCCCCAGCCAGGCGGCGGAGTCCCGGAGGGGCTGTGCCGGGAGTGGGAGGTTGGCGCTGGGGAGAGGAGGGTTTAGCGAGGCCGGCGGCGGCGGGGCCACTCCTCCCACTGCTCCGCTCCGGTTTGAAAGGTCGAGTGCTGGAGCTTGGGAGGAGAAAGCGATGTGAGTGCTCCGGGAGTCTGGCTGGGGCAAAACTCCTGCCTCTTTTCCCTCCTTTCCTTCCTCCATTTTGCTCTTGGAGGCAACAGAGCTCCTTTTCCCTTTCCAATGGCCCAACCTTCCTTGGGGTTTCTGCTCCTCCTGGCTAGCTGCTTCTCCTCCTCCGAAACGCAATTCCTGGACTGGATTTGGGACAGCACAAAGACCACTGGAAGCCCAGCAGCACCCAGCAAGGGAATCCCAGCCTCAGAGCCACTACCCTCAGCGGCAGCTCCTGCTCCCAGCCTGTCCCCAGGGACATGGGGTGATGAGATGGTGAGGAATGTCACCACCCCACAGCAGCAGGAGCCAGATCCTGGTACAGCAGTGCCTACGGGTGAGGGGACCGCAGCCAAAACCACAGAGCAGTGGGACAGGAATGTCACAGGGCTGATGGAGAGCACGGCACAGCCCAGCATCGCTCCTCCTCACAGCACCTCACCTGCCCCTGGGCAGGATGTGGTCGGCAGCTCCACTGAAGACCCACAGCTGCCTGGAATGGGGACCACCAAGGACATGCAGCTCCTGGGATCAGGGACCACTGAAGACCCACAGCTCCTGGGGTTGGGTACCACCAAGTCCCCACAGCTCCTGGGGTCAGGGATGACTGAGGACCTGCAACTCCTGAGGATGGGGACCACCAAGGACCAGCAGCTTTTGGAGTTAGGTACCACTGAGTCCCCACAGCTCTTGGAGATGGGAAGTACAAAGGACCCACAGCTCCTGGGAACAGGGACCACTGGGGACCTGCAGGTCCTCGGGGCAGGGAGCAACAAGGATCTGCAGCTCTTGAGGGCAGGGACCACCAAGCACCCACAGGTCCTGGGGATTAGGAATACCAAGGACCCACAGCTCCTGGGGACATGGACCACCAAGGACCCACAGTTCCTAGGGATGAGGACCACTGAAGACCCACAGCTCCTGGGGACAGGGACCGCCGAGAATCTGCAGCTCCTGGGGATAGGGACCACTGAGGACCTAGAGCTCCTGGGGATGAGGAACACCGAGAACCCACAGCTCCTGAGGACAGTGACCACTGAGGACCCACAGGTCCTGGGGAGCACTGAGGACCCACAGCTCCTGAGAACAGGGACCATCGAGAACTCGGAGCTCCTGGGGACAGGGACCCCCACAGCAATGGAGACATGGATGTCCTTGCAGAGACCAGGAGGTCCCCAGCCAGGTAGTGCCCCTTTTCCTTTCTCACCAGGTGACAGTACCCATAAGCAGGCAGTGCCATTCCAGGACCCCGTGGCACAACCTCCCCATCACCACCGTGAAGCATCACCGAACCTATGGCACGGCACTGGCCACCGGGGGCTGGCCCTGACCAGCACGAACAGGAGCCAGAGCTCCCCCTTGCCTAACCAGAGGGTGGATAATGGTGTGAATCCTCCTCTTGCTGATAACTCCAGTCCTCTTGAGTTCAATTTACTAACTGCCACTGCACGGCTCTACGGTAGTAATGGCATGGGGCTCCCATCCTTCTTTCCTGGACTGATGCCAGCTGCCAGCCATTGCCTGCCCATCCCAACCCACCTGCCCTTCTGCAGCGTACTGGGCACCAGCCATGTCCGATTGCCAAATTACCTCCGCCACAGCAGCGAGGAGGAAATTCGGGCGGCTTTGCATGAGTGGGAGGGGCTGCTTGAATCACGGTGCCATCGCTACCTGGAGTGGTTCCTCTGCTTGCTGCTGCTCCCCGGGTGTAGTGCCTCAGTCCCTGTAACCCCCCCACCGTGCCAGGGCTTCTGCGAGGCCGTCAGAGACCTGTGTTGGACTCACTTGGCTGGTGGGCGCCTGCCTCTGCCTTGCGATGCTCTCCCTGAGGAGGATGAAGGGTATTCTTGTGTCTTTATTAATGCTTCTGCAGGTAACGTGGCTGGGTGACATCCTTGTGTTGTGTCTCCCCTCCCAAAACTGCCCCCAGGCGCTGAGGGATGCTGCTGCCTTGTCCCCATGGGATGCTGCTGAGTCCAAAACCGCTTTCCATGCAGCCTTGGCTTTTTCGGAGAACCAGCAGGTTTTGACTCCCTCCACAAGGCTGAACATTACCCCTGGTGAAACACAGTGTCCTAGTGGTCAGGACAGGAGATGCTCCCCAAGAACATCATGCTGGCATTCAGGGCTGGTTTCCCAGTGCCACAGTGCTTTGGGGTGTCCATCCTGGGATTGGGACACTTGGAGACCTGGCATCTCCCCGCGGGAGCAGGGGAAAGACCTCTGTCCTGTGGCCACCCAACCGCAGCACCATGGTGGTGAGGAGATTTCAAGGTGACCCGTGGCCGTGCGGGCACGCTCCCCCCTCCTGGAGCAGCCCTTTACTTTGGGGTTAATGATTCACCCGACGGCTAATGTTTGATCCCTGCCTGCTCAGAAAAGCAGGAGAGGTTACTTCACCTCCAGCTTAGTCATTTGGTGGTTGTGACCTTTCTGTGTGTCAAACGGGGGGGACCCAGACGTGCCTCTGGGGCAAGGGAGTGAAGGGACAAGAGGGAGGTGGGGTGCGAGGGAGGTGGCTGGTGCCTGGAGAAATGCACATTGGGATGAAAGCAGGAGCTCCCCTTCCCCCCCGCAAATTCTCTGAAAGAGGCTGTGTTCCCATGCCGGCCCCGTGCCCTCGGGTGATAGCCGGGAGATGCCAACGAGGAGCCAGAGGGGCGTTGGGGGGTTAGGGGGGAGAGAGGAGGGGGTAGTGGCAGACAAGGGTCCCACACATGGTCCTCTCAGTGTCAAAGAGTCTCTGTTTGCTGGGGGGATGCAGTGGGACCATGGGGATGCTCAGAGGGGAGGTGCATGCCCATCCAAGACTGTGCCATAGTGTCTCAGATGGGCAGCGTCAGCAATGAGTGGGGGCTGTGGTGCACCCCATGGAATGACTTGAGATGCTCCTGCATGCTGGAGGTCCCCTGCATCTCAGCTGGGATGGGATGTGCAGGGCCACGCTGGCAGCCTTGGCTCAAGCTAGCCAGGAAAGTCATGGCGGAGCGGGATGGTGGCTTGGAGCATCCCGGGGACTTTTCCAATGGCAGAATCACTGCAGCAAGAGACATCCCCACAGCCATCTCTTGCCAGAACCAAACCTGCAGCTTCTGCCATCTCTCCATGCTCCATGATAGATGCTGCCGGTTTGCCACAAGGATCATGGACTGCAATATTTGGGCTCTGGATCTCTTTTGGAAAAAGGAGGCATGGCCTGAAAGGTTTGGTGGATGAGAAGGGACACTTGGCTTTTGGAGGGGAGCAGGCATTTGAAGGGGTCTCCACTTACTCCTCTGCTCCCCAGTCCCCATGCGGCCTCTGCCTGCTGTCACTCAGGGAAAGGGTGTGTGTCCTTTTGCTTTGGGAAGTGCTGGCACCCAGCTCCCACTCCAGACTCGGGGGCAAGTGGCGTGTTTGGAGAGGAGGGAGGCTCCCAGAGCTCCAAGGGGAGCGTGGTTGAAAATTACACTGCTAACAAAAGCCTCTTTCAGCGTGTCCCCCATCATCCCGAGCCCTGGTGAGGGGACACAATGACTTGTCTGGCTGCAGGAATTGCAGCGCTGGCTCTTACACCCATGTGGATCCCCGGGAGGAAGCTCTGGTTTCCTTTTCCCCTAAAGCTGCTGAGAATTTGGCTTCCTCCAACACCAGATAAGCTCTATCCCTGCATCCTGGCATTTGCAGTTAGAGCAAGCTTGTGGGGGGACCTGAGCAGGGGGTGACTTGTGGGTGGGTGCCAGTCTGAGTCTGAGGGAGCCCCACTTGCTCGCCCCATCATTTTTGGTGTAGGGCTGTACGCATCTGAGAGTGAAAGGATGCCAAGCTTCAGGATCCAGAGGTTCACCTCCAAGCAGATTGGGGATGCCCTGTGTGGAAGCCTGATCGCAGATGAGGGGGCTAGAACTGGTGGAAGACCGGGAGTGAGGTTTTCTCCCAGTCAGGTCAGTTTTGGGATGCCAGGCTTGGGAGGAACTGGGGTCTTGGGGGAGCAGGGTGGATACTGAACAGTTTCAGAGTTCAGAAGAGGATCAGTGGGTCTGGGGTCTGGCAGAGTAAAAATTTGCCCCCACCTTTAATTGGTGGCATTTCTAATGTCCCCACTGCTAGGTCCCTGTCACAGAGGTGGCACTGGCATTGGAACTTGGCAGCAGGGGCAGACTGGGAATGCTCCATGTCCCTCAGGCTTTGGAAGAGGCACCCAGGTTTTCATCACCATCCCAAGAGATGTGTTTTCCTTCCAGGCTGGGCAAGGCTGGACTGATTCCTTCTTTCTATTTTTTTTTAGTTTATTTTTTAATGGGTTTTTTTTTAAGAGCTCTGGAGGACAATGCCTGGTTCTAGAGCTGGGTGGAGGTTCCTGGCTGATCCTCCTAGGTTCAGCCCAGGATACACATCTAATTCCCCCATCGCTCACATGAAAACTAGGAAAGGAGTTGGGGACATTGAGTTGCCTCAGCTCCTGCTCCTGGCTCAGGATTGGGCCAAAAATCAGCACTGAGCATTTGTTTCATTTCCAGTGCAGATCCCTCAGCTGTTTCAGAGCCAGGGTGGTTGGGTTTCCTCACTCCTAGGAAATGAGAGGTTAAAAAGCACCCGGCATGTTCACTCCCATGGAGCTGGCACTGACCCCGAGCAGTTGACATAGGAGAGGAGGAATCCAGCACCCAGTGTGTGGGCGATGAGGATGTGCTTGCTGCCAAAACAACGGGAGCTGGCGGACAGACGGCCAGCTCACCCTGACCAGATGTTCAGCTGCATCGGGGAGGAGAGACGGTCTCCAGCAGAACTTCCCTAATTCTCTAATTCTCAGTAGGAGTTGGGAAAGGAGGCGACCGCCAATTGAGAGCATCTGGGAAGCTGACGGGGCACGCTGGCTTGAGCCGCGTTCCCAGGGTGTTGCAAGGGGATGGTTCTGATTTATTCCTAGCAGGGCTGACCCTAGGATGCTGTTCCAGGATGATGTGAGGGGTCACTGTGACCCCAGAGCAGGTATGGGTGCAGCACACTTCCTCAGGGCTCCATGGTTGTTCAGCATCCTGGTGCTCCAGCAACATCCCCCTAACGTGGACAAGATCCCTTTGGTTTTATCCCATCCAGGGAACTCTGAGCAACCTGGTCTAGTGAAAGGTGTCCCTGCCTATGGCAGGGGAATTGGAATTAGATGATTTTTTAAGGTCCCTTCCAACCTAAACCATGCTATGGTGTCCCAACTGCAGTTGGAGGGCCAGCTGCAGGGATTGGGTGGCATTTTGGGAGTCACATCTGAATGGTCTGATGGGAGCAGCTCAAGGTTGCTGCATTGGCCAACTCACAGCCTGAAGGAAAATCTCGGTCCCTGGGGAGGGAGAGCGGAGGGAGCCACTGAAGAACTGCATTTGGGGGAGGTGTGGCCAGGGGTGTCCTCCCAAGGCACCTTGTTGAGTGACCATCCTTGCGTGGCTGGTTGTGACCATCCCCTTCCTTTCTTTCTGCAGAGAACCTGAGTGCCGAGGTCAGCCTCCTGGAGCTCATCGGAGACCCGCCACCGGAGGAGATCCTCAAAATTTATGGCCCTGACAACAACCCTGGCTATGTCTTCGGTCCCAACGCCAACACGGGCCAGGTGGCCCGGTACCACCTGCCAAGCCCTTTCTACCGGGACTTCTCCCTCCTGTTCCACATCCAGCCCACCACCCCCCGGGCCGGTGTGCTCTTTGCCATCACAGACTCCTCGCAGAGCATCATCTACGTGGGCGTCAAGCTCTCGGAGCTGCGGGCAGGCAAGCAGCAGATCATCTTCTATTACACGGAACCGGGCTCGCCCAGCTCGTATCCGGCAGCCACCTTCACCGTGCCCACCTTGCTCAACCAGTGGACGCGCTTTGCCATCAGCGTGGAGGAGGATGAAGTCATCCTCTACTTGGACTGCGAGGAGCATGAGCGGGTCCGGTTTGAGCGCTCCCCAGACGAGATGGAGCTGGAAGATGGCTCTGGGCTCTTTGTTGCTCAGGCTGGAGGGGCTGACCCGGATAAATACCAGGTAAGGCCTTGGGTCACCCCAAGGTGCATCTCCAAGAAGCCTCGAGAGACATAACACCGGCTGTGCCTGTTGAACTGTCCTTTTTGCCTGGAAGACAACCAGAGGCCACACTCGGTGTGTGTCCCTGGGGAAGGGGACACCTGAAATGGGCGAAAAGGTGTCTTGAGATGCCTCTAATTTTATCGTCTTGGGGCTCACCAAGGCAAAGCTCTCGAGGTGGGCTGGCAGGAGGACATGGGGTTGCCCTACAGCAGCCACCGTTGCCCGTCCCTTTTCCCAGCAAACTCACAGAGCCTCTTCAGATCTCACTATTGCTGAAAATACCCAACTCCTTTGGTAGAGGAGCTGCCTTGGCTGGGAAAATATCTCTCTTAGCTGGAAAAAATGCTTGGGCTGGAGTATATCTTTGTTGGCTGATGCTGAGCAGTATCTCCAGGAAGGCTTTGGAGAGTGAGGAGGGATGTGATAGCTCAGCCCGTGCTTTGAGCAGGACTCATGTTCTAGATAAGGTTTATGGAAAGTGTGGGGAAAATACTCAACTGACATGGAAATCCCCTACAGTGCTTGAAGAGAGGAATGTTCAGGTTTCTCCTGGGTTGAGCAGGATTTGCCTAGCAACAGAGGCTCTGCCGAGGGGGGCATTACTCTTGAAGTTTTGCAAAGTACGTTTCTGAGCTTAAACATCATCTTGACTGTGCTGCCACATTCCCAGTTGAATGGCTTTGGTCTGGGAAAGCTCCCCCGGGAAAGGGTTAATCATTGAAGGGCTACAGACTGGTGTGCACTGGGATTCAGGCAGATCCCTTGAAGAGCCACTTTTTGCCCTTGAAGAGCAATTTTTTTGCTCTTGAACATGCTGGGAGGGCCAGGTCATGGCCCTGGAGGAGCTCCTCTCCCCAGCTGGAGGCGGTTTGGCACCATATGGAAGGCAAAGCAACAGCTTGGAGCAGAGCAGACCTTTTAGCAGGTGATGCTCCCAAGCTTGCCAAACCCCTTATCCCATGGCCCACCCCCGGTTTTCCCATGGGGAATAGCTGGCCATCGAGGGAAGGAGGCTGGACCGCTTTGGCTGGATGAGAAGGGAGCAGCATCTGACTGCCTCGTGGTGTTTCCATCGCTGCCCAGCCCTGACTCGCGTTATCTGGAACTAACAGGGCATCGAGCAGATTAAAAGCTGGCCCCGGGTCAAGCCTCAGGATGAGCTGCTGGCAGGCAGCTGGAGGGGTGTCCTGGCATCTCTGCTCCTTCCAGAGTCACCTTTGTGTCAGTGGCATGGAACCTGGGGGGCAAAGCCTGCGGGTGATGCAGAAGCCCGTGGGACAGCACTTACCCAGAGGGTAATGGGGTCCTAGATGGGGTCTGGCAGGAGCGTTTGTTTGCAGCTGGATGTGGCACTTGGGGACATGGTTTAGTGGGGGACCTGGCGGTGCTGGGGGAATGGTTGGACTTGCTCCTGCAGGGCTTTTCCAGCCTGAATGATTCTGTGATTCTGTGGATTCACTGTAAGATCTACAGTGCTGCTGCCCCCTTTATTGGAGCAAACAGTCTGAAAAAGGGCCCCTATAACCATCCCTCATGGGAATGCCTCAGTTCAGGGCTTGGAACTGGATTGCTTCCAATGCCTCTGGCAAGCCCCAGGTTTCAACCTCGCAGCCCCTGCCCAGCACCACCAGCATGGCTTGTCAAGCCACGTGCCAGACCTGGCACCAGGTGGGCTGAGAAGAGGGAGGGGCCAGGACCCGGCTAGCCACCCAGCAGTGCTTTTACAGGGACCTTTTTAGCTGTGCTCCTTGTTTCTCTTCTTCCAAGGGTTCCCTGCCCCATGCAAGGACCGCTGGCAGGCCCTCGTCCCTGCAGCCCACATTTTGTATTTCCTAGGATAATCTGCACTTCCTTACTGTTTATTTGAATTTTGCAAGCACTATGTGCATCCAGGCCACTTGTTTATACAAGAAATCACCACAAATCCCTTCCTAAGGATACAAACCCCTGTAGCATCCTGGTCTCAGCTGGGGAGGGTGTGTGTGTACCAGCCTAAACCTCACAGCTCCCAATGCAAGTGGGGTCAGCCAGCACATCCCAGAACCCAGCTTAGGTCCTTGCTGCTGAGGTGGGACACAGGGGTGCTGCTGGGGATGTTGCCAGGATGGGATGCCACCCATCCCTCTGATCCTGGTGGGGAGGACCAAGGGACCATGGTGGGAAGCAAGCTTGGAAAGGGGAGATAATTCCCCCTTGGTGTCTCTTCTCTGGGCAATTCACCTAAAATAATATTTGGGCTGGCTTGAAAGCACAGCGTGCCGTGTCCGGGCAAGGAAACATAATGGGCTTGAGAAAACAAGGATCGGGGCAGTTGCAGTTCAGCCAGGCTAGCTGTGACATTATAATGTGAATACATTATAAGTAGATTAAGTTAAAGATATATAACAACTATAATGTATTACAAATATATTTTTATACATAATAAAAATTATATAAATTCCTCTTGCGAGCAAATGCCCCCAGTTGGGTGGTGACCTCATCCAGCTGCTCGCACTGTTGACAGCGGATCTCATCCCTCCCTCTCCTCCCACTTGAGGACACGGTGGCCAAGTGGCACAACAGGTCACATCATGGCAGAGTGGCTTCGTGACGTATCTCTCTGTGTCACCCATCCATCCATGGTTTCCTTCCAGGGGGTCATTGCTGATTTGAAGCTGCGAGGGGACCCGCGGGCGGCAGAGCGCCAGTGCGAGGAAGAGGAGGATGACACGGAGGTGAGCGCTGGCAGCCCGAGTGGGGCAGGCTCAGGGAGTGTCCCCCACCATGCCCCCAGCTCACCTCTCATCCCTGCTCCACACAGCTCTCCGGTGATTTCGGCAGTGGGGCAGAAGGTGGACACCAACCCTCAGGGAAGGTCGGGGTGAGTTGTTGCCCACAGGTGTTGCACTCAGGGCGGCACCTCAGAATTTCAGTGGGATGAGGGCCCTCCGTGGTCAAGGTGATGGGATGCTTCATGGTGTCCCGGCACCTGTTCCTTATGGGAAGGCACTGGGAGGTGAACGGCACCGCGGTGTCCCCTCGTTGTTGGCACAGGGTGTCCCAGGGCTGGTGGATGCTGTCCCTGTCACCTCTCCCCCCGTGGCGGGGGGCAGCGGGCCAAGGAGCAGTGGGGGGTCCCCGCAGCAAGCTGAGAGGACCAGAGCAGAGGAGACCCTGCGGGTCTCCATGGGAGGTAATTCCAGCAGCTTTCCCCTTCCCAGGGGCACGCAAGTGGGGAGGTGGTGGCGTGGCCATCCCCAAGCACAACTGGCTCCCTTTTCCTTTCTGACAGGCACCGGCCCCAAAGGTGAAAAGGGGGAGAAGGGCGAACGTGGCTTGAAAGGGGACTCAGGGACTGGTGGTATCATGGGGACAAGCAGTGTCAAGGGCCAAAAGGTGAGTGAGAGCATGGTCCCTGGGGACTCGAGGGTGTCAGTGACATGTCCATGTTTGACACCTGCTCCGCTCTGTTTCTGATCCTCAGGGGGAGAAGGGAGACCTGGGCATCAAGGTGAGCATTGCTGGGTGAGCTGGGACAAAACCTGAGGCTGCCACCTCAGGGATGTGCCACCCATCCCCATCTGCCTCTCCTCCCCAGGGCAGTGCTGGATTTGGCTATCCTGGCTCAAAGGGCCAAAAAGGGGAACCGGGTGACCCCGGCCCACCCGGGACCCTCTCTCGGCACACCGATGGTTCAGTGGTGGAGCAGGTCACTGGTCCCCCAGGGCCACCAGGGAAAGATGGAGCCCCCGGCAGGGATGGCGAGCCCGTGAGTTGAGTCCCCCATCCCTGGGGTGTCCCTGTCCCCCCACCCTACCCACCTGCACACTGACCTGTCTCCTCTCTGTCATTCCTAGGGAGATCCTGGCGAGGACGGCAAACCTGTAAGTGGCGGGGGGGATGGTAGGTTGATGGGGGACAGCCACCCCCTTACCTTGCCACCTGCTGACCCCACCCTGCTCCCCTTCACAGGGTGATATGGGGCCCCAGGGGTTCCCCGGGATGCCAGGAGAGCCGGGTCTGAAGGGGGAGAAGGTGAGTGCCAGTGCCGGTGTTGGGAGGCAGCACATGACACATGCCGCTGCCTCCTGTTCCTCTCACTGTCAGCTTGGCTGCACCCACAAACTGTGCTCTCTTGTCTGTGCCAGGGTGACCCAGGCATGGGGCCAAGGGGACCCCCTGGACCACCTGGCCCCCCAGGACCACCAGGACCCTCCTCCAAGAATGACAAGCTGGTGAGTGCCCCTTGGGACACAGGGGTCTGAGGGGGATCCATCAAGCCCCAGAGGTGAGGGATACTGCTGACAGCCCCTGGGCAGCCCCCTGTGCCTGACATCACCCTCCTGCTTCTCCTTCAGACCTTCATTGACATGGAAGGCTCTGGCTTCGGCGGTGACCTGGAGAGCCTGCGGGTGAGTGGGGGTGAGTGCCTGCCCTGCTGGCCGGGAGTGGGGGGACACCCTCAGCCATGGCC